TGCCACCCTGTTCACTTTCTTGATCTCCTGAGCTCAAGTTAACTTCTTTTTACAGCACTGTAAACTATATGTTTTTTAAGACCTTTGTCAAATTGAATGTGTTACAGTTAAAGCCTTCTTAACTACTGCATGGGTCAATTACTCAAGTGTATTAAAGTAGAAATCATAAAATATGATATACTCATACCTTAAACATTTGTGTGGAACTAAAAATATAAATGAGCATTCATTTGCCAAATATTTACTGTAGAGTTAAGGTCTTTTCTTAAATATCCAAGTTACTATGCTTGTAGAATAACTAAATAACACTTTCTTCTTGTGATTTTATGTGACCATCTAAATGAAGAGAATAAAAATGTCTACTTTTTATAGGTATATTTTTATACATCTCACAATATACAAAGGCAAATGATTGGTCCAAACTGTTGTTCATAATGTACTTCTCATGGAAAATGGCCTTCCCTTGAATCATATCTATATGTATCCAGTAAAACAATTTGCAAACCCAAGCAAAACTAGAAGGGAATATGGAAAACATTTGACTTTTTTATTCCAGACATTGAGTTGAATTAAGAGGGATGTTTGAGAGAGGGATAACTTAAATTGTTGCAGTCAGAGATTTATGGTCACCTGAAGAAACACATTTTTAAGTCCTGAATATCACAACAGGTCTAAGTAGGCAAATGGGCAAGTCAAAGGTTAGGAACACAGTAATAGGAAGAAGCACCATTACAAGGAATAGATTGGGAGTAGATGTTTAGAACTGAAGCTGAGTATAACAAGTGAGGGCTAGAATTTCCCTTTCAATGGTGTGTGGTATGAGGTAGGGAGCTCCTCATAGAAGCCATTCAAGATTATGATTTTTTGACTTTACAATGGGTTTACCGATATATTAAATACATTTTCAAATTATGGTATATTCGACATATAGGGACGTAACTCGATCATAGGTTGAGGAGTATCTGTATATCTATTGTGTCAGGATTTGTCTCCCTGAATTCTCACAAGTTGAATTGATTATCTTTCTGATGCTTCTTAGTTCCTTCTTTTATCATTTCCTTTCTGTTTGAAGAATGTCCTTTATTTAGCCAGTCTTCAAGATAAGGGCTGTTAGTGACAGATTCTTTTAATTTTTCTTCTGCTGAGAACGTTTTTATTTTTTATATCCCCTTTCTTCCTGAAAGATAGTTTTGCCAGATGTAGAATTTATAGTTAACAGTTCTTTTCTTTCATCACTTGAACAAGGTGCCACACTTCCTTCTGGCTTCCATGGTTTCAGATAAGAAATCCATTATTATTCAAATTGATGTTTCCCTGTAGGTGATATGTCATTCTCCCAGTCTGCTTTCAGAAATTTTTCTTCTGTCTCTAGTTATCAAGTTTAATTATGATGAGCATGGATTTCTTTGGGTTTATCTTGTTTGGGGTTAACTTAGCTTCTTGGATCTGTAGATTTGTGTCTTCCATCACCTTTGGGAGGTTTTTAGATGTTATTTCCTAAAATATCTTTCAACTTCACTCTTTTCCCTTTTCCTCCCACATTCTGATGGAAAACGAGCCTACCTCAGCTTGAGTTGAGCTCTCTTCTGTTTCTGGGTCAGGAGTTGGGAAATACTAGGCCTGGGTGGACTTCTTTTTTGGGTGGGAGACACAAGACATTCTGCTACCATGTCATTCCTTCAGACCTAGAGTTTCAAACTTGTTTACCTTCTTTTTACCACCCTTTAGAGTTTTCCTTCCCTTGTCTTTTTTATGATTTCCATGATTTATAGTTGTGCTTAATAGAGAGGAGCAAGGAAAAATGGGTAAGCCATCTTGACCAGACTGGGAGCCCTTTACATATGTTGATCTTATCTTTTATTTTTCTTTACACATAAATTTGTAATGAATTTTGATTATCAGAATTTATTTCAGAAAACCTTAAAATGACAAGATGAAGAATATAATTTTAACATTCCTTTTAAAACATATTTTAATATGTGGACACAAATCTTAAATAAGCACTTGTATTTCAAAGTATATAATGATTGTGCAATAACGT